GTTTTCAGTCTTCCCTATTATCCATCCCTCTCCACATTTTAGGTGGCTACATTTCAGTATCAATGTACGTAATGCAACATCTTCATTTTGTGTTTGCAGCCTAAGTACTTCAGAGYGATCACTAATAACATGGACACTGTTCTCTGTCTGTCAAGAAAGAGTCCATTCCTTACTAAAATTGTTAGTTATCAATATAAACCAGTAGAGTTCTTCAAGCTGTAAAGGATTATCATTTTATATTCTTTTTTGTCCTTCCCTTCATTTTTTTTTATTTTCTCTTATATTTTCTTAATCTTCRTGCTGCTTAAACTTCCCATCATTATAATGCATCTTTCTGCTACATGTGCTTTGAAGATGAGGGGGGCTCATGCCATATGCCTATGTGTGTTTCCGTCTTTCTGCATGTACAATTACCTAATAATATGAGAACAGCAAACAAAGCACATGAWCTGAGAAAGAATCTGGTATTTCACCCCGAGGGAGGATTTTCTAAGTGCACAAATGAAGAGTAAACAGGTAGAAATGTCATGCAATGTGGATGCAATCCTGCACACGTTTATTTGCCTGTATGAGTAAAGCTCTTTGCATGCGTAAGTGTTGACAGAGTTGAACTCTGCATTATCAAATCTACTGTCAAAAATTGACCCCAGGCATTTTGTAAGAAAGATGATGATTGTCTCTCTAATTACTTAAATAGGCAAAGCAAAATTTAGGAGAGCTGTACAGAGCTCTGTAATTATAACAGACCTGCCATTCAGATCAGGTTTTCCAATGCACATTCTTGGATAAGAGCGACATAGTTACAATRTGCTGGTACAGCGGCATCCTCTGAACTAAAYACTTTGATTATCCCTTATCATCAGRAGGTGGAGTGGCCGCAGAGGTTTGCCAGCCCTCTGTTAATCCTCATATGGAATTACAGAATCATAGATGTTAGAGATGGAAAGTGCATTAGATCATCCAGACCATCTTCTTGCCAGTACATGTTTTCTGCTAGGGTTTTTTTTTTTTTTTTTTTTTTTTTTTTCTCTGTGGTTTATGGCTACAGATACTCTTAAGAACTTGGCCTTCCACTTCTATCTTCCGGAGTCTTTTCCACAAATTTTGATGGCAAAAAATTTCTTTGCCTGATGTTCAGGCTAATTTTTTCCGTTTCTCTCTTTCACTATATCAAGTCTTATGTTCTCATCTTTCATTGACTGTTCTCGCTATGATGCTAACAGCCTATAAAAATGAGCAGAATAGTATTATATACTCTTATATCTTGGATATATCACTTAAGTACTGCATATTCACTTCCTTAGGATTTGGGAAAATTATGCAGATAGGTTTTAAGCAGAACTACTGATGGTATCATTTCTTAGATGTAGGTTKTTTTTTTTTTTTATTTTAGTGTGAGTGGTGTGTTCTACTGTCACTTGAGAACTTTCTGAAAAATTAACTAAGAAGGCCAATTATATTCTGAAACAGAAATGTTTTTATATGGAGGAGTTACACCAGTATGAGAGGAGTAATTTTTAACTCTRTTGCTGTTAAACTGTAGGGAAACGATCCTACGCAGGCAATTTTGTAGAAAGCGTTACAAAATCTGCAGTTTTCCTTTAGAGGCCCAAATTGTGAAAGTTGCAGTGTAGATATTTGCATGTTCAATCTTTCCAGCTTTCCATTATCTTTTCTCTTCCTAAAAGTTGCCTTACTTCAAAAAGTAAATCTTTCTACGATTTCCCTTGTTTTAGCAGGAATTTAGGTCTGGTTGATTGTTTGCTTTTAAATGCCTRGGCCATCCAAGCAAGGGCGTGTCTGAAGTTTTCTACCACTTGTCTTGGTTTCCTACCACTAGTCTTGACCACAAAGAGCTGGGATAATGACCCCCAAATAAATAACCCCTAGCCATAAAGAGGACAAACTCACATTGTTTCTTCCATTGACCCTTCAGAGCGAGGCTAGTTGCTGTGAGCTGGCTTGTGGCCGCTCTGCCTGAGCCAGCATGCTCACACAGTTGGCCAAATTCATCCTCCATAGCCTTTAGCCCGAATCTCTTATGGTTTTCAAAGTATTACTGCCAGTTTTCATTTCAGAGTGTCCCAAATAAATGAGAGGTTTGTTGTGTTGCAAGTCTCCAGGGAAGAGTCTTGTAGTGCCTACATTGCACATCCCCAGCTTGGTATGGGGACACTTGAGGCCTAGAATGCCCCCAAATTTGCTGAGAGAGTAGAGAGGACAGTCCCAGTGGAGGAAGCCAAAAGTGGTGTGGCCTTTGTCCAGGCTGGCTGTGGGTGGCCCTCCTGTGAGCGGAAGGAACCATTTGACTCATTCCAAAGAGGTCCCAGGAATGAAGTCGCGTTCATGTGGTGTGGAGAAGGGGCTGATAGTGAAGTTGAGAGCAAGCCAGGGCTCACAAGAGCTGCGATGACAGCGCTGAGTAAGCATATTCCATGAAGCCACCTAGGAGCTCAGCACATGGTAGGCATGTTGTTGATGAGAGAGGTGAAGCCACCTAGGAGCTCAATGCAGGGTAGGGATGTTGATGACGGGAGAGGTGAGAACAGGCCTATTAGGCCACTGTAGGAGGTAAAAGTACTATTAGTGAGTGAAGTGAAGGCACTTGAGGATCAGGTTGTGTAAGTGACTGGGAAAATGAATGAAAAACATGTAAATGGGTGGGTTAGAGAGTGAGTAATAGAGTATGTGAGTGGGCGGGTAATTAGACTGGCAAGTGAGAGAGGCGGTAGGTGTGGGTGAGTAGCTGGGTAGGTATGTGGTATGGTAAGAAGTGGAAACAGCTTTATGGGCCAGCACCATCACGAGACCGAAGGAATGGGCAAATGAAGCCCCTCGAAGCACACGCACGGGGACCAGCTTGACTGTCTCCATTGAGGGACCGTAGTGCGCTTAGACCTGCATGCTCTCCCCCATTCTGCATCTAGTTTGTTTTAATTTAGGCAAGAGACAACCCTGGAACTTTAGTTTTGCTGTTAATAAAGCAGGCTAATCTCCACCTCGGTCAGGCATTTGTGTTTTGTTGCTAGCGATCCTGCAGAAATACGTAAAATTGTAATTATTGTTTGCTGGGTTTTATTGGCTGTAACCAGGTCAACGATAAACCAGGTAAAGCAAAGCARAGACTCCTGGTCAAGTTTTTCTGGAGCATTGCAATTTATATTGAATATTCCCTAATGTTTAAATTACTCAGGAGCTGAAGATGGAATGAGTCAACTGATGAAATCAAATGTGCAAAGACAGAAGTGTATAAAAATGCACAAAACATCAGCTTACAGGCATCTCCCAGACCTCAAAATCCTTTAAGTTTAACAAATGAAATGGGAAGTTTAAGTAATATAAAATAATGATAGAACCACCATTGACTGGACTTTCCTTTTCCTACAACTGTTGCAAAGCTGGACATAGTTCACCGTGACTAATCCATAATGGTTTAAAATTTACTATGGCAAAGGTACAGCCCTAGCTGTGACCTTTTCCGAAGCCCGTACAGTTGAGCTATTGTTTAAGGTAATTGCTCTACTATCCTGTTAAGTTGGATTAAGTTGTGCGCGGTACATTTTCAATATTTATTGTAATAACGCAAGTCCTTTTGAAGCCCAAAGAGAAGCGAATGGCTGCTGCAGGAAGTTACAGCCTTTATCTTGGCTGCCAAAAAGGAGTGTATTTACTAAGGAATAACTAATAGGCAGTGTGGCACTGTAAAATTTGGCTAGAGACAAAACCTTGTAGTTTCCAGCTTAAAGCTACCCAGGCAAAGGTAAGAATCTTCCCTTGCCGAACTTCATTTTTGATGAAAACTCTCTTGCTTTACCTGTGGCTTTTAACAGCAAGGTGAAGATGCAGCACATCTATCAGCTGTACAGGCAGTGCTAAGGATCCATGTGCTGTGTCTTCCCATATCCAGGTTTTCCAGGGCCAGTTGTAGCAGTTGGACCCACACATGGTGTTCTCCATAATCGGTGGAAGGAGTTGCAGATTCTGGGAGCAAATGTCTCAGCACGTTTAATAGCTCTTGCTCTGCATAGTACACATTTTTTCATTACCAAACAGTAGTCTATAAAATGGGATTATACAGGTGTCCAGAACATTTGTCGGAGAATTGCTAATTTCTGAAAGTAGCTCGAAGCAGAGAGGGAAAGCTCTCTGGTCTGGAATATAGTCACCACGCTAGAGAAAATTCTGTAAAGTTTCTAACTGTAACCAAGGAAACTTGTACGGTAGTCGGTATTTATTCGTTTTATCTGGGACAAATCCAGAAATCATTTGCTGCACTTAGGCAGCCGTTCCTTGCCATTATAGCAGCTCAGATCTTGCTGGTGTTCAGATGCTATAGTAACTGTGACAAGTAAGATGCAGAGGAATGTGTGGGTATGTTTAATATAAGCCTGCTGGGTTTTAGATCTGTCAAAACCCCAAATTTGCATTATTTGCATGAGCACAAACCAAGTTAGTATTTACACATGCTTTGTCTGTGTTCTTGGAGTGGCAAGATTTGGATTGCTGGGTCTTACTGTTCCTACTTACTGTCAGTGAGATCGCGTGGAGACTTAAAATATTTACAATTGCAGCCTCGACTAGAATCTTGTTTTCTGTTATGCTTCATGATCAAACTTATCACAACAGCTTCAGGAGCAGCACACACCTTTGAAAGAAACACGGATAATCATCAGAGGCAGAGACTAGATCGGAAAGCAAACCTTCAGATTTCCCTTCTGTTTAATTAATTGTTTGTTTTTGTTGGTGACAAGGTTACAGAGCATTTGTAATAAGCATGCTTCATCTTTTGCATTTTTTTCCATATGGGTGTGTGCTTCCTTTTCATTATGCTGGGTTGTTTTTTTCTTTTTCTTTTTTTTTTTTTTCTTTTTTTTATATTGAACACAGTCGCTCCTTTCATTTTAAGAGTAAGAAATGAGTCTATTTCTGAGCGGGAGGAGGAGGAAAAAAGCTTCATAAACATTGCAATTCTGATCTTTCTAATCCTTTATTACCTGTAGGGGCAGGTGGCTGCTGGGAAGCTACTCCAGGAAGGGAGATTTGCGAACATGTTCCAAGGCCTGGAATCACACAGCGGAGCAGTGTATTTTAGAAGCTAAGGAGGAAGTTCAGAACAACGTGGTTGCAAGGTGCGTTGCTCAGAAACATGTGCCTTTTGCTTGGCGTATTTTGCCTAGACTAGGCCTCTTTATTTCTAACCCCATATTGTCATTTTAAATACAAAATTGAAATAGACTGACTGAACTCCACATATTACCCTTTTTGTTTATKTACTCTTTTAAAATAGATTTCGTTTCTGGAGGCTACATCTCCTACTTCTTTCATTAGCTGGACTGTTTTGTTTGTARAAGAGCTGTGATCAGGAGAAAGTGAAGGGAAACACTCATCTGATTTCAGAAAAAAAGAAAGTAATTAACGTTAGGGCGTATTGACTGTGTAATGCTGAGACAGTGTCTGTAGGAAAATGACCAGACAGTTTAAAGAAGAAGTAAGAATATTTTTAGCATGCTGAAACTGTTCAAATGCTGAAAATGGGGGAGGGCGAGGAGGGCAGTGAAAAATACATCACCCTTCCCTTGTGATTCTGTGGTTTCGTCTGCATCTTTTTTATTTCTCCYTACAATCAGCCATGTGTTTCAGTTGTGATTGCTGTCACTGTAGCTGTGTGTCTCATTTGCCTAATATCAAAAATATGTATGTATAATAATACTTTCATAATGCTCTCCATCTGGGGGAATCTCTAGCACTTTGCCCACTTTCATATGACAACTCATGACAACCTTTTTTTTTTTTTCCTCTCCTTCTATTCTATGGATAGAGATTCCAGTGCATGGACTTGTTTTAATTCTAGCTCTGATTGGAAAAATTCATAGAACAGTTTATTATTTATTGCCAAAAGTAAAGTCAGTCTTCCTCTGTCTTGCTCAGTCCAGTAGAACCAATCCATTTATGAGAGAACTATTTATTTGTTTARAACATTTATGGTTCCTTTGTTAGAAGAATCATTAACACACTAACAAGYAGTAAGAGACCTGGGTACCACCTTTTTCAGGAGATACCTGAAAAGTTTTGTTGTCTCAAATTATATGTGCAGACACAGTCATAACCATATCACATAATGCAAATTTCTGTCAGAAATCATCACTTAATAGTTTGTCAGTTAGAAGATTCCTACAAGAAATTGCAATACGATCATTTATATTAGCAAGACCAAGGGAGGCGGTTTAGTAAAATTGAGTCAAAGAGTGGAACTGCTATATGGAATATGTAATAATAAGAAATTAACCTCTTCAGTCTCAAAAATTTTTAAGCTATTACTGCATAAGCAAAAATTACAAAAAAAAAAAAAAAAAAAAACCCACAACACTTTATTTTCTGCACTTTATTTTCTTTATTTTACTTCTTTGGCAGGGGCACCACGATTTACTCTTCTGTAGTATGTAGGATGTAGGAAAGTGGTCTGGTAAGCTGCTCGAGTCTTCCCGATACACCTCATTATTAGTAGTACCACCATACTTGTGAATACACTTCCATTTTAAGCACAGTACCGTCTTTTAAAGACCACATTTTCAAAGTGCTCAGCAGCACACAGCACCCATGTGCTCAGTTCCAGCTGATGGTGACATCTTCTGGATGCTGAGCACTTGGAAAAGGTCCCTTGCCATTAGGTGACCCATTCCAGGCCAAGTTATCTCCAGAGCATGGTCAGTGGCATGGCAGTACAAGCAGACGATGCAGATCTGCTGCCTCCCAGGCTTGTACTCTGAGCTGTTACAAATATTTCCCCTCAAATTGCTCTTAAACCCAGAATTTAACACTAAAATACCCTCAAATTTGACCTGTTTTTATATTTGTGTGTGTGGAARAAGCCCACAAAATTATTTGCATAGTGTCTTCAGTAAAATTCGAGGTGGTGGTTGTTCTGATAAAATTTGATGCATCTTCTATGTGCACAGTTTGCCTTTCTGATATGCAGATGCACATCCTTGCATATCTAGTGAAATCAGTGTAGCAACTGCTTTTACAAACTACGTGACAATGTACAACCCCCTATCTGAGAACCAGATCAGACTGAAATTGGGACGCAGTCCAAAAAATAAAATACTGCAATCAGGCTCCTCGCTCTGTCAGCGTTCAGATTCATTTCAGTTGTATATATTATGAGGAAGGGAAGGGGAAAATGCACACTAGCATCCCGAAGTGGATTCCTGAGTAATGTGGGATGATTGACGTGGGTGTTGCTGTTGAGCATTTGTTGCTTAACGATTTCCATTTTTAAAGCCACCTTACATGCTATTAGGTGGCACGGAGGATGCTTGGAGCCTGCGTGACACTGAGGAAGCCACTGTGTGACACTGCAGAAGCCATGTGACCTCCCTGCTTGCACTCAGCCCTACATGTCATAGTAAAAAGCTGTCTTCTGCTTTCACAAAATCCCAGCTGTGTGTGGTGCTCAGCCTTTCCAACTGTGCCTTTCCACCACTGGGGATGGCAGGAGTTCAGTTCCTCAGAAAATCCTAGGTTAGGTGGTGGTGAATTCAGGTGGGATTGACCTCTCACATAAGACCTTGGTTTCGTTTCCTTCCACCTTCTCCAYTGCTCTTCTCATCTTCCCTGTGTCCAAAAAGCCATCTGTTGTCCTGACCGATGGGTGATGCACTGCCAAAGGGCAGGTCATCTTCTGCTGAATCACGCCAGTCTCATCACTTAGAAATCCTGTCCCCTGGCCTTGCCACTTAACTCTGAGACTGCCATTTCCTTACCCTTCTCTCCTAAAGTTTCAGAGTGGCTTCTTTGCTTGGTCTCAAGCATTCACTAGCCCTACCACAGCAGATCAGTAGCCCTGGGAAGTGCTTCTCGATTCTCTGTAGGCAACACTCAAGCACATTTAGCAGTCTCAGAATAGTCTATGCACRCGTTTGACCTGATTTCTTTTTTTCTGATTTCTCATTTTGTTGTGCGAGTGTTTAATTGTGCAGATTGCACTTGCATTGCACAAGTGAGAATCAAGCCTAGGCTTTGCACGCTGCTTCACGTTACTGTGCTCGGTGAGGGAGAACTGTCCACACTGTGAGCGATGACACAGCAAACCGCATAGTGAGAGGGATACTTTGGGATTACACTAGTAAGTCTTCCAAAAGAAATCACACTTGGGAATTGATGTAAGCCCTCACACTTCTGGGTAAAAGCCAGTTGCTAAGATCACCACCTTAAATTTCTGCTGGCAGATCCAATTTGGCAATGGTAACTGCCTATGGATAGAGATGTTTGTGAAGGAAAGCACTTCTGATAAAGACCARTGGAGCCTTTCAGGTCCAGACTACCTGGGTGGGATTTGATTCTGATACAAAGACCGTATAACTTGACCTACATGCATATGTATACATGTCTACAGAACACAAGGAGGGGATTCAGTTGCTTTCACATGTATGTTTTTGAGAAACCCTAGGCTGTTTGGGACACGTGCAYGGGGCTGGCAGATACTGTGCAGGTTTTATGGGAGAAATGCACTGCTGCAGAGTAAGCAGGGTGCTATAAAGCACCTAAAATGACAGCAGGCGTAAGTGCTGTGTTCAGGCCACTATGTCTTAGTCTCAATATCCAAACACCTATTGAGTTTCTGAAGAGCCCAAGAGTAGCTGGAGCCTGGAGAGCGATTCTGCTCACCCAGCCATAGACACCAGTTATTTGGTGAGTGGAATTTTTCTCCACATGCTGCTGGATGTTTGAACTTAGGTATGGATATATGGAGAAGATTGAGAGTGAATGTGATCAGTATGTGTAAGTACCTGGGGGCAGGATATAAAGAGAATGGGGCCAAGCTCTTCCCAGTGGTGGCCAGTGGTAGGACAAGGGGCAATGGGTGTAAGTTGAAACACAGGAAGTTCCATCTCTATGTGAGGCAGAACTTCTTTGTTGTGCGGGTGACAATGTTCCAGGGAACAGGCTGCCCAGGGAGGTTGTGGAGTCTCCTCTGGAGGTCCCCCAGATGCGACCCCAGGTGCCCTGTGCTCTGAGTGTCCCTGCTGGAGCAGGGGATTGGACTACATGATCTCTAGAGGCCCCTTCCAACCTCAACCATTCTATGATTGTGTGACTTGATCTCTACGTATTGGAATACTGATTTTTTTTTCCCTCTGGTACATCAGGTAAAACAAACATGAATGCAAACAGTGAAAACTAACAGTGAGTGAAAACAATGAGTGAAAACAAAAGCATAATAATAAAAGAGTAGCATAGTTTCACATTCATGCTGACAGTGAACACGATTGAATATATGATAGCAAATTGGAGTGCACATACACAGTAATTTTTTTAAGAGAGGAATTACAGCTTGTTGCTTGCACTTTTCTTACAACTTTCAATGTCAAGAATAGGTTTATTTACTCATTAAGCATGTATTTTCATAAATTAGAATWTGGGGGTTTTTTTGCCATTGCTAAGCAGTAAGCTGTTCTTTCAGGGAAGCAAGGAGCAAACATATATTTTGTGCCAAAAATACTATAGCACCTAAGAAAATTGGGCTTATGTTTCTAATTACTAGTTTTTTCCTGTCTTCTACCCTGTCTTGGTTTAAAAAAAAAAAAAAACACAAATAGGCCCTTTATGCTGCTTTTGATAAGACTCAACAGAGATAATAAAAGTACAGTGTCCTTTTGTGAAAGTTTTTAATTATTAGTTGTACTCACTAACTTCATTTCCGAAGRGACACAGGGGTGACCTCATTCTGAAAACTGTCAACCTCATGCTGGTGTCATTCACTGACTGCAAAAGGGGCTTTTTTGGGTTTGCTTGCACATTTGCTTGCTTCTGTCAGCTGACCTGATAGGCCATATTGCATTGGGAACACTTTCCAAATACTGTTTCAGTAGTATGTTTTATTATTTTTTCTAGAATTTTCACCTTCAGCTACATAATTGAATTACATCAAAGAAATGCAGGACTGGCACAGAAACTTATATCTTTTGTCTGTCATCTCTTGATATGTTTCTAGCAGCAACCGGTCTCAAATACATTGAGGAAAGGTGATGGA